ATGTAAAAGCAGGATCAGCTTTCCAGAATTCCTCTGGAAAAAATGTGATCATCACTTAAAACTGTATCCTAATCCTGCTGCAGAACAGGGCAGATCAAGTTTGCAGGGACAGCAGCTTTCCTTCTGCAACTTCTTTGCTTTTCCAACAGGGGAATTCACAACTGCTGCCAGTCAAATGCTTTTTCCATGGCATTCCCACAGGGAGGTGTCTCCATTCCCATGGATTTCTGTTCAACTGAGGCAACAGAGACTTTCAAATCACAACTTACTACACAAAAAAAGAGAAAATTTCAGTCAAAATGCTTGGTGTAGGTAGAAGGGATTCAACTTAATCTCTGGTCCTTTGTTTTTATTAACAAATTGAACTGTCCTCAAGCTGGAAATGGCTCCCCAGCTTTGAAGGAATGTCCAGTGGGAGACTCCCAGCCTATCCAAACACAGAATATAAAACATGTATGTTTTGTTCATTAACTTCCATGGACTCTTAAATGCTGACCTAATACAAAATTGTCAATAAAAAAAATGAAAAAAATGTCAAATCACTTAGGATTTGTCCTTAATTTGGAGGTCAAAGCCAAAAATATTCTTAATTTTTGTTAAAAAATAGCAACAAGACCAATGTCAGTAGGAAATAAAAGAACAATATCCCCCAAGAGATGCATTTCAGAAGAAAACCCAAGGGGACTACACTTACATTTGCTCTGATTTCAAACATCTGCAGTTCAACTAGGAATTAATGCAACCCTGTAAAGACACCATGCTGCTTTTCCATTGGATTCAGCAAGTTTGCAGCAATCCTCAGCACAGAGGAGAGTTGGCTGGTGCAGGAAAATTCATGCAGGTAAAAAAATCTGGCTGGGTGCAAAATCTTTTTGGGGTGAAGGGGGAAAAAAAATCCCAAGGGAAAAATCTTTTTGGGGAGAAGGGGAAAAAATCCTAAGCAACATTCAAAGTTTCTTGCTCCTCAAATAATGCCTTGTATTTGACTGACAAGAGCACTCAAGGGTACGAAACAATAAATATTTTTAAAATCTATTTTAAATTGATTATTTTTAAATTATTATAAATATTTTAAGCTGCCTTACCATCAGAGCTGGTCAGAACAAAGCTCTCAGCCTGGGGTTGCTTCTTGGCACCAGTGGCTCTGGGAAACCAGTGCAGATCTATGGGATAAACATCTTCTGGCAGCTTCAGCACCCGAGAGGTCTCGCTGCTCACAGGGTTCCACCTCATGACCTGGTGGTCATCGCTGCACGAGTACAGCTCGTCAGCTGTTGTCCAGCCCACACAGCTCACCAAGTCCTTATGTGCCATTCAGTTAAGGAATCTGAAAAGTTTAACCACTAAAAATAATCAAATACCCCATCCTGAAGGGACAATACAGAAGATTATTTTGATAAGATTGCGTGGAACACCTAATACTTAAAAAAAAAACTTAATTTTTTTGCTCTTATGTGCCAAGAAGAGTTGGTAAAAATTCAGTCAAAAAAGAATTTTATGAAAATATTTCATAAAAATAAAATTCTTATCATGATATAAAGTTATGGAAACATGGCTAAACTGTTGTGTTAGTGAAGGGTCTTAGTGCAAAATAGAAGTGCAAAACATCCAACTTTCATTCAAAAGTGTTGGTTTATTAACACCACATCATATACAAGCATTCAGTATCTCTTAAAACATTGTCCTTAAAGGCTGCACTCAGTGACAAGGGGAACAAAAGAAAAACAGGGAAAAAAGCCATCTGCAATTTACTAATATTTTACTGAAACTTCAACAACAAAAAAATATTTTCTGGAAGTCTATTCAGAATGAACATGATGTTCCATGGTTTTTACTGTGACAAAGGATATGTTTTGGCTCCTTTAAAAGGGAAGTCTTCAGTCTCATCTCAGTTGTTCAGATGGAGCATTAAAACCATGTGTTATAACTGCAATAAAAGAAAACAAATACATATATAAGTATGCATAATTAACAGAATCTATATGCATACACAAGCAGCCAAATTAAAAAGGAAGACACTAATTAAAAGTTCTGAAGTAATACTACATGACTACTGGGGGAAAATAAGCACCAAGAAATACCTGAGTTTAAAGAGAATTCTGTTTTCACATTATCCAAGTGAATATGGACAACTTGAAGAGGAAATGATGCTGTGAACAGTGAATCCTTAAGGTTGGAAAAGACCTTTAAGATCAAGCCTGAGACATCAGAGGTTGGGAGCACTGGAGATCCCTTGTGCTGACACACAGCCAGGAAGGGAAAACGGGATCTTTTCCTTTCCAAGCCCAGAACTTTATTTATCATTTTTAATCGCTCTGAATGTGCTACTAAAAGGCTGAACGCCCACCCTGGGCCATCCACAGGTACATCCATCACTGCCAGCCCACGTATTCCCTCCGTCCCAAGGAACCCAGCAGGGCTCCGCTGGACTTTTAGGAGAGATGTGGCAATAAGCAGGAATTATAAACAGGAATTATAAGCAGGAATTATCGGGACTCGGAGAAGCCCAAGGGCCTGACGCCTCCTCCCTTTCCCATCCGGAGACGAGGATCGGGGACGGCGGAGGAGAGCGGGATGGGGGAGCAGGGAATGCCGCAGGGAAGGATGGAGCAGCGCCGGGAGGGAAAACTAGCGGGCGGGATAGGGAAAGCAGCGGGAAGGGACGGGGGCAGAGCAGGAAAGGGAAGGAATGCCACAGCAGGACGGGCGGAATGCCGAGAAGGAAAAGCAGCCGGCGCAACGCGGGGCACGGAGACACGGAGCCCTCGGGGCAGCCTCGCCAGCACCCGCCGCTCCCTCCGCTCCCAGCTTTCCAAGAAGCCATTACCCACCCCCTGCTGAGGCTCGGGGCTGTCCCCCGGAGCCTTCCCTCCCCTCCATCCGCCCGTCCCACGCCCGGCCGGGGGTCACGGCTGCCGGCGCTGTCGCCCACCGCGGCGGTGACTCAGCCGAGGGGAGGGGGCCGGCGGCCGCGCCTCCCCAGCGCGCCTTTACCTGCGCGGGCAGCGGAGGCAGCGCGCAGAGCGGCGGCCGGAGCCCGCTCCCGGCGGAGCCCGGGACGATCCCGCCGCCAGCTCCCGGCTGGATCTCGCTCCCGGGATGATCCGATCCCGCCTCCCGGCCCCGCTCCCGTCGCCTCAGGAGCGGCGGCTCCCGCTCCCCCCCGCCGCCAAGCGCCGCCGTCGCTATGGCGACTTCTCGCGAGACCGCATCCCCTTCATCCTCCTCCTCCGCCACCTCACGGGTCCCCCCCGGCCCCCCCAAGGTGCCACGGCGCCGCCCGTTAATTAATTAAACCCGCTTCAAAACTGCCGCGCTCTCACAATTTTTAAAATTTTTTTTTTTCACTTGTAAAATTTTTTTAATATTTTTTTTTTATTAATTTTAAACCAGCGCGCGTCGCCCAGCAACCAAGCGCCGCCCACTGACCTACTTCTAAAATTAAAATTAACCCTTTTCTCCGCCGGCACGGCCGCGAGGCTGTGTTACCGCGCCGCCCTCACCCCCTAACGTCTCCCAGCCCTCCGTCTGTGCCCAGAAAAAGCCGCTCCCGGCGGATTTCTGGGCGCCTTCCCCTCCCTGCTGTAACGAACACAAGATGGCGGGCGGGGGCGGCGGTGCCGTTCAAACCCGCGGGCCCGGCCCCTCCCGTCCCAGCCTGCCCCGCGCTTTTCTAACGAATTTCGGTTCGAGTTCGCCGTTTCGGCGCCATTTTCGAGTGTGGAAGCGGCCGAGCTTCTACAGCAGCCGGAGCCGCCCGCGCTGCCGCCGCCTCGCCGGGGCACGGAGCCGCCGGGACGAGCAGGTACGAGCTCGGCGGGAGGAAGCGATGGCGGTTCGCCTCAGGGCGCTGGGGTGGGGGGGCTTCGCGGCGGAGGAGGTGCCCTCAGGGGGGCTGCCCCGGGCAGGGGGTGCTGAGGGGACGGTGCTGACGGCGAAAGAAGAGATGCTGGGAGAGTTGAGGGGAGACGAGGGATGCTGAGGTGGAGATTAGGAGTTTTGAGGGGAAGGCGCTAATGCGGAGACGGGTGATGTTGAAGGGAAGGTGCCGAGGGGAAAGGCCGGGGGTGCTGAGGGGATGGCAGGAGGTGCTGGGGGCCCGGCGGGTTCTGCCCCGCGCCTCATTTCCCCTCTTCCCCCCCTCGCCCGGAGGGAGCAGAAGCGGCGGCTGCGCCTCTCCCCGGGCCGGGCTGCCCCGCTGAGGGTCCCCGTGAGGGCTCCGGCCCCGCGGCTCCGTCCCGGCTGCTGTCGGCCCGGGGCTTGAGGAGCGGGTCCCCGCGGGGCTGTGCAGCCCAAGGGCTCCCGCCGTGCCCTGAGGGACCCCCGCGGCTCGGAGGACGGGGAACTTCAGGGACGCGTTTGGGGAGCGGAGAGATCCGATTTTAATCTAGCCCCGGCTCTGCCTGCTGCTTTGACGCTTGAAGGGTGAGAGAAAAACCCCAAGAAAGCTCTTAATGATTGGCCATTCGCTTAAAAGAGCTGGACTCGACGATCCCCGTGGGTCCTTTCCAACTCGGAATATTCTGGGAGTCTGTGACTTGGAAAGAGCGTGACAAGGGTGCAGTCTGGCTCCTTAGGCTTTAAAAAAGCCCCAGATTTGTCACTGACAGGGCTTGTCTCTATCACATTTAATCGGCTGTTAATAAGGAAGCTTTTCTGTCCGTCTCCGGCTCTTTTTTTCGCCATCCCCGTGAGGAAAGCGGCGCTTGGCAGGAGAGATGCTTTCGCCGAACACCTTCGGGCTGCCTCGGGGGAGGGGCTGGGCACGAATTTGTTAAATTTGTGAGAGACTATGTGGCAGCTGATTTATCGCGATTTAAAAGCTGAGGTCAAGTAGTTCGGCTTGTTCATTCTGGTGAAGTGTCCGAGGGGGGGAGGGTTGGGAAGGTAAATAGGTCTATGTTGCACAATTCTGCTGGAGTGGAGCAGTTCGGGGGAAAAAAAATAAATTAATGTGCTCTGAGAGGCTGTAATTGTCTGCGACAGCCATTGCGGAACAGTTGTGAACGGGGGCACAGACTGAAATTGCCTAAAAATGAGTTCTGTCTCTGATTTCCCCCCTCCCCCATTGTCCCAAATGAAGGACTCTCATGAGAGTGTGGGTTGGGGGTAGGTCTGAAAACGTCAAATGATTGGCACCAATTGTAAGATGACTTTCTAACCACGTCAGTTTTTTATCTTGTGAGAAGTAAACTTTCTCATGTCTGTTTTTCTGCGAGCTCACTTCGCCACTTGCTGCGATTTCAACTCTTTGGGGAGAGTTTTGCTCCTTTTCTTCTCATCGGGTGTTTTCTCGTCACCCGTTTGGGGAGCTGTGCTCGAGTGCCAGCTGATGGCTTTTGTAATGCTCGTCCTTGCTCAGATCACTTTAACATCCCGGCTAGATGAAGGTATTTCGCGTTTGCTTTCTCTCTGAAATGCTGAAAGCTGGCAGGAGGGGTTGCGTTGTATTTTGTGAGCAGCGTGTGTCGATTTAAATGATTTAAGAGTCAAATCTTTGCTATAATCATGCAGGGCTTTTGTTTCTCTGTCTGTGTATCGATCTCTCTATATCCATGCGAATATTTAGCACGGGTTATTGAAAGTAAAACGAGTGTCAGGTCCGAAATATAACGACCTCTTCCAGGAGAGTATAGACATGTGGCTCCTGGGCTTGTTATTCAATTTGTCTTTAACTCCTTTGCCCCCAGCACCAGGGTGGCTTTCAGGGAGCAAAGTCACTGCCCTAACATGTCCCCACGGGCTGGCAGCAGGTACATCCATGCTGTTAAAACAGATTAGGCTCAGCCCCTCGTTTGGGGGGTGATGTATCTTAAAATATATCATCGTGAAGCTAACCTCGATATTTTGTTTCAAATTTGGATTTTTGTCTTCTAACTGCCTCCAGTCATAAGTTTCTAAATGAGTCGAGCATCTGGGCAGAGGTGTAGGTGAATTCCTTCGGGCTGTAGCTCGGTGCTGAGATCACGGGGTTCTCTTGTTTGTGTTAGCAAAGGAGATAGAGCCCTTCAGTTGTTTGACTGCTTGGAATGGAAGGGGAGCAGCCAACAGGGACCGTGCCAGGCAAGAGCACCAAAACCTCCAATGCAGCCCGTGGGAAGGGCAGGGAGCCCTTGGAGGAGTCCTCCATGGACATGGAAGTGGAAAACGAAGGCACCAGGGACCCTGACAAAGAACCTCCCCAAGGTAGGTCTGGGCTGGCTGTCGTGGTGCTCCTTGAGCCTCCTCAGCAGCATCTTGAATTTCCAGATGGGATTTGCTCTTTTCCCTTCTACAAAGCAACGCTGAAACCCCTGGCAATTTAAAGCTGTTTTTAAAGCGGTCAAAAGAGCTTGCAAAGAGTTAAAGGGTTTGGCCCAGTACAAGTGCAAAAGCAATTTGTAGACTCTCTCCTAATAAACCCCATTTCGGAGCTCTGATCTGGAACATTGTACTTAAGATTGTGGTACAACAGCAGGATTTTTCAAATTTATAGGCAGCCAATGGTATGGGATTTCTTGGAATGGAATAAATGTCAAGTTTATTTACTTAACTCTTAAAATGATTTGACTTTCTTTTTCATGAAGCAGTGTATTTTCTTGAGTTCCTTGAGCTGAACTTTCACAGAAAAAATCTGCAAAACCAGCAGCTGTGTAACTTTTTAGGGAGCCAGATGTGCAGTTGTTGAAGGCAGGTATTTGACAAATACCCTGAAATTGGTGGCAAAAACTGCTGCTTGTTGGAAGGAGGAGCTGCTGTGCCTGGGGAAAAGCTGCTCTGCTGATATCCAGGGGGCCAGTTTGTTTTCGTAACAAACTTCCTGTCTTTGCAGAGCAGCCGTGCTGTCATTGCAGCTTTCAGAGCCTCATGAGAGATCCCCAAATCTTGCACAGTGACTCTGAAATGTGGCTTTGCACTTATTCATTAGAAAGGCTTTGCCTGCTTCAGATTTGCAGATTTATTGTGATGGTTGGAGCTGTTGGAATTGCAGGGGGCCTGTTAAAGTGTGTTGGAATAAGAATTACATAATGAAAGAACAAACCCAGCGATGGGACATCTTAAGTAGCTCTTAAAAACATTTTTTTTTTGTGGAAAGAAGAATTTTAATTCCACTCAGCTCATATTAATAACTGCAGGCCAAAATACAGTTTGGTTCAGACAGAAATGTTGTTTGCTTTTTCGGTTCAACATTTTAAAAGGTGTTCAATCTTTGAGAGCTTACAATTGGCTTTTTTTTTTTGTTTTGTTTTTTTTTTTTCTCTTTGTTTGTTTGGATGGGTTTTAGCAGCCTCAGATGAGGTGGTGGATAATCGCAGTTTAGAAGAGATTTTGGGTAGCATCCCTCCTCCCCCACCTCCAGCAATGACCAGTGAACCTGGTGCTCCTCGCCTCATGATCTCTCACATTGTAAACCAGAACTTCAAATCCTATGCGGGGGAGAAAACTCTGGGACCTTTTCACAAGGTATCTTTCTTTTTCCTTCAAGTAGATTTGAACTGAAGGTAAGACTTCACTGGGTGGTATTATTCCTTCCTGCATTTTCTTCATCTGAGCTGACCTCAAAATAACTGCAAAAATATTTAAGGTTTAGAAATATTTTGATAGTAATATTCTAAATTAAGTAGAGAAAACAGTTAAGTGCAACTTTCCAATGCTGTGCAATTTTAATTTGTCAGCACAGCTTAGAAAAACTCTCTTTTCTCTTGATTTCGTTTGCTGGAGAACTTTAAGGGCCGTGTTTGAAGCAAGAGAATATTTTTTTGTGCCCACAAGAGACTTACGTGGCTGAGCATGAAGCTTTGCTTGTGCAGCCTGCGAAGTGCAGGGCTTGGGTTAGGCAGTGCAGCTGGGAAAGCTGAGCTGAGCTGTGGGGCTTTTATTCACTTTTACCTTGGCAGCAAAGCTCAGCTCTCAGACACTTGCACGCACGAGGAATAATTGTGCTTGAAATGGGTGATGGACGCTGGGCAGGGTTTCTTTCCCTTTGAAGATCACTTTTTCCCTTCTCCCTGCAGCGTTTCTCGTGTATTATCGGGCCAAATGGCAGTGGCAAATCCAATATCATTGACTCCCTGCTTTTTGTGTTTGGCTATCGAGCCCAAAAAATCCGATCCAAAAAGCTCTCGGTGCTGATCCATAACTCTGATGAGCACAAGGACATCCCGAGCTGCTCTGTGGAAGTTCACTTCCAAAAGATCATTGACAAGGTATGTGTGATCCCAGGTTTTTTTCCCTTAAGGAGCTGAAAAACTTTTAATATTTGCTTATTTTCGTTGGAGCTGGGGGAAACTTCATAGCATGATTAGTTTACCTTTGGGATATAAACCATCAGTGTTAATTAACTTTAAAAATCCTCTGTTGAGTAGTGCAGCTCTTAAAATCTCAGTAAGGATTCTTGAATTTGCTGCAGGACTAATATGTGGTGGATTTCTTTTTGAAAACAATTTAGAAATTTTTAATCATCATTTTAAGAAGAACTCGTTGTAATTTGTAATCTTGTTTACCTCAAGTAAATAAATTTATTTCTGCAATTAAAAGAATTAATGGAAATGTACAAGTCTATATTTGGACATATTAGATATTCTTAAATGTGTAACACAAATATATGTATTAAGAAATGAAACCTATTTAAGAAAAACTTTTGAAACCAATTAGAAATTATTTTAGGTTATCTAAATTTGGAAAAATACCTAATTAATCTGAAACTTATTTACACCTTATGTACTGTAAACATGCCTGTAATTTTATAACAGATTTTTCAGCAAAAATTCTGGACCCCACATTTTACCACTGAAATTTTTTGAAGCTGATATTTTGTTTGAATGAAATAGAAAGTGTTGGCAAATTTAAAAAATATTTATTTTGCTTGCTGCTTTGTGTATTGATAAAAACTTTAGCACTTTTTTGTTGATTTATTGCAATTGTGGTACAAAGAATTTATTTCTCCTAATTTAAATTTCTTTTTTGTGCACACATCCAAACTTTTAAATTTAGGGTCAACCAAAAAAGTGGGAAGTGTACATTGAAATTCCAAAAATGGTGTTAATAAAGTAGCAGCATTTACAGCCTTTTTTAGGAACTGTCTGAAAAGACACTTACTTTTTTTCTTTTTGTGTTCAGAATAACCAGATTAAAAAATTCATCTATTTAAATTTTTAAAAAATTTTTTTTGACTTTGTGTGAACGTCCAGAAGCTGAGTTTGATTTAAAACCAGAGAGCAATTTGAGAGCTTTTGGGGGTTAATCTGGGTGAGTTTTAACTTCTTGAAGCCTGGCACCAGCTTTATTTTGGCTGCTGCTCTGGAGGTAAATGGGAGCTCTTTTGAAGCTGCTGATGTCACATTTGTCACATCTTTAACGTTTGGCTTTTTTATCTTGTGCAGTTTGTGTGGAGCTGAGGCAGCCCTGAGGAGCTGGGAGTGCAGGAGCTCTGCAGTCCCCAGGGCTGGGCCAGCACAGCCACTGCAGCCTGCGCCCCGCAGGGAATTCTGTCCTCGCAGGGAAAGGCACCACAGCAACACAACGCAGGGGAATGTTTTTGTCCACTTCTCAAAGGATTATTTTTTGTTTGTTCTTTTTCTCTCTTTTTTTTGAGAGATGCAATTTTAAGACAGCTCCCACTTCTACAACTCAGAGCCCATGATAAAAACATCTCATGATGAAACTTATCTGGTTAATTGTGAAATAGGAGGTAAATTCCCATCTACAGTAATTGTTTCTCTGGCTTTGTGTTTCCCCAAAGCAGGAAGGAGATGATTACGAAGTCATTCCTGACAGCAAATTCTGTGTCTCTAGAACTGCCTTTAGAGACAATTCTTCCACCTACTACATCAATGGCAAGAAAAAGACATTCAAAGATGTTGGGCTGCTTCTCCGAAGCCATGGGATTGACCTGGATCATAACAGGTTCTTAATTTTACAGGTTGGTGTGTGAATAACACCCATTTGAAAGTTTTATTTCCAGTTAAAACTCTAAAAAATGCAGGTTTGAAAAGTTTCCTTGGAGGCCTTGAAGTGCTGTAGCAGCACATCATGGTTTGCATGCTCTGCTCAGAGTGCAAATCATTGTTTGCTGCTGGAGGAATTGAAGGCTCAGCAGCACTGGGGGATGCTCTGTCCCCTTTTCCAGGAGGGAATTTGGTGTTCCTGCCTGCAGGACTCGTGCTCGTTCCGCCCTAGCAGCACGTAAATATTGGAGTGTCAAAGAAACCTTCAACCCCAATATTATTGTGCTGCTTCAGCGTGGCAGAGACTCAGCAGCTGGGGGTGCTTTTATCTCTGAGCTCCATCAGTGTTAATTGAAATCTGAATTGTTTAATTGTTTCATTACTGTTGTCTGCTGCTCTCACAGAGATACGGTTTTACTGGGAAATGAGTGGGAAAATGAATTGTGCATAAAATAAGTGCAAGAAAAATCCCTGAATTGTGTTTGTTGTTTACCAGCTGCAGAAAGAGTTTTAACCAACTTTTATAACCAATTACACAGCTCATACTGTAAAATTAATCACAATTTTTCAATACAATAACATTTATATTCATGTTTGACCTTCAGGTTCTGAGGCTTGCTTGCATCTGTTTGCTGTTTTAGAGTCAGGCTGAAAGGAACAACATTAATTTTTTTCCCCCTAGTTTTTAAATAATGAGAATTTTGCTATATGCCAGCCAATTAAAGTGTAAATTAAGCTACAAATATTTAAATATTAATTCCATTAAATAACTATTTCTGCCATTACCTGTAATTACTAATAAGTCCCAAATCTACTCTGGCCTAGAAATCAGTGATCAGTGGGAGCTTCCCAAGGTCTGAAATGTTTAATAGAGTTTATTTTAGGCCTGGTTCTGTCAAAGGACCTTCCAGTTCCCCTCTAAAAACCAAAATATTTAAAGAACTTGTAGCTGGGTGGCTGTGCTTGCTTCACTTCCTCCAGGCTTTCTGTGCAGTCCTTTTGTACAGCTACACCCACAAAAAGAGGATATCTCTGTTTGCAAGTCTCCATGCCAATTAATTATTTCCTCCAACACTTTATTCCTGTATTTTCTGCCTCAGGATGGAGCAAGAAGCACCTCCAAGAAAACAACTTGGAGTAAATACATCTTTTTTTTTTTAAATACAGTTGTTCTGCAATCTCATTTTGCCAAAATGTCCAGAAGGGAGAAATGTAAAGTGAAAGATGAAGCAGGGTGGGAATGCTGGGCCAGAGATCCCAAAGCTCAGAGAACACTGGGAGCAGGGGAGGGGAACATTTGGAAGGGAATATTGATAAATTAATTTATTTTATATTTTTCCCCCCAAATGGGATGTGTTTTCTTTTCCCACAAATTGTTTTAATGAGGGGAGCATCTGTTTTTTTCCCTGAAAGCTGGCATTTCAGGCTTTCCACCCTACAAAGGGAAATCAGGGGAAGTAGAGCAAATATTAAGCATAAACCAGAGCTTTCCCACCATAATTTTCATATTTCATCACACCAGGCTTTGTCTCAGAAACTGCTCTGAGATTTTCTGCCTTTTTTAGCTTTTCTGACAGGGCAGGGCCTTTCTCTTTGCCTTTTTAAAGTGAAATCCACTGATCTGACTGTCCAAAATTCAGTATTTCCACTTGAGAAATGTAGCAATATTTTCCACAGAATGACAGCAGAACTCCAACCCCCAAATCCTAAAATTTATAGTTAGGAGGAACTAAAACCATCTAAGGCTGTGGATTGTTATCACAAGGATTGCATTTCCCCCCTAATGTTTTGCAAATTGTTTAAAATTGAAGGGATAAGTAACAGGTTTATTTGGTTTTTACTCTTTTTTTATTTTTAAGCAGCAAAACTAAGAGTTTAATTAAACTAAGTTGAACCAAGTATTTCTCATTTAAAATAAGTTATAAATCTCTGATTTTTGACTATATCAGTAGGGTGTAATTAAAATATTTCATTTGTACTCTGGGTTTTGGGGAAAAATATTAATGAAGGATTATCAAATGCTGTTCTGGGGGTGTGACAGAACATCTGCTGTCAGGAGTAAAGCAAATCTTGTAGGAGGACTTGTCCTACATGCAGTACCAACACCTTCAGAGCTTTGATTTTTATCTTGCTCACATAATTGCCATTACTCAATGGAAAATATTTGCTTTTTAGAAGACTGCTTCAGGGTTTTTTTGCTTCCTTTTCCCCCGTTCACCCCCTATTTTGCAGTGTTTTTCTGCTGATTTTGGTGCTTTTTAGGGTAAAATTTGAAAGCTGAGTTTTGATAGAGATGTTTCTGCTGATGCCAGACTGAAAATATTCAAATCAAACTGCTGCTGAATCGTGTGAATAACATCACCAAAAAAAAAAAACCCCACCTGTGGGAAAACAGAAAATGTGAGAGTAATTGAGTAGTTGTAGAAAAATTACAAATTCTGTGCCTGAACTTGCAAATTGAAATAAATCTGGTTTCAGAATTCTTCTGGCTCCAATGGGATGTTGCCAGCACAGAACAGGAGGAGTTTGTCACTTGTGGGATCCTGAACTCCAACACTCCATAGTGCATGCTTTTAATAAATTTCCCTGAGCTTTTAGTACCTCAGGAATAGACAACTATTTTACATTATTATAACAATTATTATTTAAAATCATCACAAATGTGTTGCATTTTTAATGACCTTGCCACAGCCTGAAACTGCAGCAGGAAAAAGTGCATCTTGTCACTTAGAAAAAAAAGAGTTTGGGGGGAAATCTGGCACCTTGCTGCTGCTTTTCTGTCTTCCACACCTTGCAGGAGCTTGGAGAGGTGTAAAGAACAACAAATAAAATAATTTAGCTTTGACTGAGAGCCCTGGAAGCCTGCTCTGGCCAGGCTGAGAACCCAGAGTGGTTGTGCTGCTCTCTGCAGTGACTCCTCTGGGAGATTCCGAGGTTTCAGCCTTTAGTGCTTTTCTCTAAGGAGTGATGAGAGAAATGGGAGCCCTGGGGGATATTTGGGATCTGTGCCTGCTCTGATGGGTGAGGGGACAAGCAGGGTCACCAAAAAGGGTGGAAAAGCCAAGTGGAGCTGCCCAGTAACCCCAGCACCCCTCTGCACTTCAATATTGCAGAATTCATTCTGCATTCGTGGCAACAAACTTCTAAATTAATTTTAATTTATTTCAGAATCTTACAAACAAATTAGAACTGTTTCAAGTCAATTTTGGCCTAATTACAGTGATTTTCACTTGAATATATTTGATAGACTTAATTAAAATATTCTCCTGTCATCTGATGTCTAAACAACTGCAGGGATTTTATTTGGTGTATTTAGTAACTGGTTTTATTTGGTGTATTTTATATTTTGGAGCTCAGTTTTATCTTGTGGCAAGATGAGGTGGCCAGGAAGGAAATTCTGTCAGGTTTTTCACCTGCTCCTGTGTGGAAACAATGTGGGAGTCACTTCCAGGGGACTGGGGAGGAAATGAGGGAGAGATTTTCTTCTCCTTTGAGACAAACCAGAAATTCCTGATGGGACACTGGAGCTGAGGCTATAAATGGGGTTATAAATGGCATTATAAAAAATCTGTGCTGCCAGCATGGGGGGTGAAGAGAGGGTTGTTCCTGTAGGAAATTCTGCAGAAAAACATGGAAAATGGGAGGAGAAAATAAGTGATAATTGAATATTTTCCTTAGAACACCCCAATAGCAAATCAAACACTGCAGGCTGGGTTTCCCAATTCCTGATTTAAATTCCAAAGTGACTCTGGATTTGCACTCACTTTGTGCTCTGATACTAAACACAGCAATGTCCTTAAAACCTGGAAACTTATTTCCAGAATGCACAATTGAAGTTTTGTGCACACAACTGAATGTTGTATAAATCTGAGATTTTCTTCATCTCTGGCCAGTGGTGACATTGCAGATTTTTATTTTGTATTTGACTTTATTTCCCACTGAGTTTTCCTGGAAAGGAAAAGGTTTTGGTTCTTTTTCCCCTCCTGTATATTCACCATGTGATAAAATTGAAGTGTAAAAATGAGATAGGACTGCAAGCATTAAATAATAGCAACAATAACATGGAATCACAGGAAAAAATCTCCAAACAATCTGTTGTAACTTCCCAGAGCTCTGTTAGAGCAGGAGAATAATGAGGTTGTGGGAATATTTGCTGTCCATACATATTCCAAAATCCATGGATGCAGAATTGCAATTCATGGGCAAAGCTTTGTGAGAGGAGATTAAAAAAAATAAAGACAAATTTAGGACAGATTTTTGCCATTCTTTATTGTACTCCTGCTTAAAAATGAGAGCTGCCACTGTGGTAAAATGGGGGGAAAAAACCCAAAGCTGAGTGTGAGCACATAAAAGAAAAATTAAAAATTGAAATTTGGGAGAGAGGGTGAAATCAGTGGAAGCTGCAGACAGAGAAAGGGAGACACTTGTCTCCCTGCCTAAAGGCTTTTTGAAAAGAAAAATGTACTTTGGTGTCTTGTTATCAAGAAATTGATGGCACAAACCATCTAGGAAATAAAAATGTAGTGAGAAAATAAAATTCCAGGCTTCTTTTCCTCGAAATGTTCCTCACTTGGCTTTTGCTGCAGTTCCAGGTTGTGTCAGGCAGGTGGAACTGGAGCTGAAAGAGCCAAAAGCTGAACTCAGGAGCAGGAACACTGGGGTAAAGAGCTAAAGGAAAAACAGGAATTCAGCTTGGATTTTCTCTTTTAAATCTCTAAAAACAGCTTTCTAACAAACATTGCAGATGTTTTAATGGGATTTCTTTCCTTTGAGCAAATCCAGTGTCACTCTGGCTTTGCTCCTTGTGATGCTGAGGAGTTTTCAGCTCCTGGAGAAGTTCCTGTAAAATCTCTTCATCTCCTCTTGCTTCAGTGTTTGAGAGAAGTGAAACATTGCTGTGCTCTGGAAAACAGAGTCAAACAGAACTTGACTTTCATTAAGAGAGGCTTGCCCTGTGCTGGGTCACTTTTGTCTCCAATTCCATGGTAAGAAGTTCAGAAAATGATTGAAATTGGGGTGTCATTTGAATTAAGATGAGTTTTTACATTTAGACAAACAAACAGCAGATTTTAGCTCTGGCTGCTCTAATCCTCCACAAAAGTGCAAGTCAAGGTGGTTTTTACCCTGCTTACATTAAATTTTAATTACCCATGCATTATTGTACTATTTCATCCCAAATATCCCTTAATCTTGGGATGCTTGATAAATTCAGTTATGTCCCAAACACTGCATTCAGATATAATTCCATTTCATTTATGTCATACCATCAAATTGCAAAATATTTAATACTTGATTTAGAAAGCAAATTGTACATATTGAGGAATTACAATACTAAAGTATTGTTACATTTAATTTACAGGACAATGGGAATTCTGCTGGAACAGGTGTTATGGTTGGATTCCAGTAAAGTTTGCTGAGACTCAAAGATTTTGGTCTCAATAAGAAAACTTCCTTTTATGGGCCATTTAAAAAGCCTTAAAAGCTTTGCTATTATAAAAATATGCTGCTGCTACAGTGAAACTACTAAAATATTGTTCTGAATTTGGAAAAATTGTCTTAAAATTACTAAATATTCCTAAAAATACCAAGTATCATAGTCACAAGGTTCACATATGAAATTTTCTGGTGGTTTAATGGCATTTTGAAACAAATTTATATATTTTGACCTGTCCCCAACCAGGGAAGGTTTTCCTGATCCATAGTGTTGCATTTTCCAGGAAATATTTTCTCTAAAGCTGTTTTTTTCTGAGCACAACTGTGATTCTCACTTCAGTCAGATGTCACATTTCTCCACCTCTGATTAGTGGTAGAGAGGTCCCCTAAAAAAAAAACAAAAACCAAACAACAAAAAAACCCCAAAAAACCTAAACCTAAACCAGCACAAGTGCACCACAAAATTCCCCTCAGAAAGCACCCAAACTGCCCAGGGCACGGTGCATTCCCAGCTACTGAATTCCAAGCTATCCCAAGGATCTCAGCTTTTGAAAGCTGAGCTTAAGACAGCAGAAATTGAGAATCCAAAACCCTGGAAAGCTGTTTTTGACTCCCTGGTGCCATAATTATTCTGTGGGACATTGGCAGAGAGCTCTGGGAGTGCTGCAGTGACATTCAGTCACAACTGAGGCTGTTCAAGGTGTTCCTGCCCAAAGCTTTATCCCAAATACTCAGGGATGAAAAGGGGAAGCAAGAATCAAGAAAAACAAGCATCTTCCTAGGTTCTCCAGAAGCAGCTCATCCTGCCCGGGGGATGGAATTCCTGCCTGGGAGGGTGGGGAGGAGCTGGGATGGGATTCCCAGAGCAGCTGGGGCTGCCCCTGCATCCCTGGAGTTGTCCAAGGCTCCAAACACTGCAGAAGCTGCAATTGGGTTTGTAATTCCCTTCCCAAAGGGCTTGGTGGGTATGGAAGTGTGGAATCCTGGCATGGTTTGGGTGGGAAGGGACCTGAAATCCCATCCAGCCCCAGCCCTGCCATGGCAGGGACACCTCCCACTGCCCCAGGTGCTCCAGCCCCAGTGTCCAGCCTGGCCTTGGGCACTGCCAGGGATCCAGGGGCAGCCACAGCTGCTCTGGCAATTCCACCCTGTGCCAGGAACAATTCCCAATATCCCATCCATCCCTGCCCTCTGGCAGTGGAGCCATTCCCTGTGTCCCTCCAGCCCCTGTAAACAGTCTCTCCATCTTCCCTGCAGCTCCTTCAGGCCCTGGAAGGTCTCAGTTCAGGCCCCTGGAGTTCTCCAGCACAGATCCAAGGCTGCTTTTCTTCCCAGGAGCTCCTTCCCTCGTGTGCACCTTTGGTTCCCTGTTGGCATTGCCCATGGCTGGCTGTTGACACCCATTTTGACTGCCTGAGCAGTGCCTGCTTTTCCTTTCTGTTTTCCACACTGCTCCCTGTCCTGAATCCCTGAGCCTCGGGAGGACAACTGAGGGGAGGAATTGCACAATTGCAGGGGTTCTGCTGGAGCCGTGGCAAAGCTGGGGTGCCAGCTCTGAGCACTCCGAGCTCCTTCCCTCTGCTCAACAAATGTCTGCCTGCCCCGCCTTGCTTTCACTTTCACAACCTCGGCCACAGAGCAAGGAGGCTTGGGGCTTTTAAATTCACTATTCAAATGAGGCATCAAGTAATGAGCACTGCTGATTAATTAGGAAACACTGCAATGGCGTTTTAGCAGTTGTAAAATCTGTTTGCTCTGGTAATCATTGTCAAGAAGAGCAGGTACAACCTTTTCACTCTCCTTTATCAATTAAAGGGAACCTTTAATTTCTTTTCTGGAAAAATAGATTTAAATTTTTTTCTGGAAACCTTTTTGTTTCTTAAATCTGGGTTGAACTAAACAGATTTCTTAATACATTAATAGTTTAAATATTAATACTTAATGTTATTATTTAATTAATAATTTATAAATATACTTATTTTTTCCCTCAATAAGACAATAATTCAAGAATTCACATTAGTGAGCTACAGAGAAACCCCACAACTGCACCATCATCTTTCTTAGAGGTGGTTAATTCTATTTAGCCAAATAATAACAATTTTATTCACTCCTTGCTTTTCCCTAATTGCCATTTTTCCCTGTTAAATGCAAGGTGGGTTTGTGATTTCCACCACTGAACACGAGGGCTGTGCAGGCAGTGTAGAACCCCCCCAGTCCTGCTCAGCACTGAGTTCAGTCTGTGCTGTGATTGTTTCCTTGTGGATGTAAACAGAGGAAATGCTTCAATGCAAGAAGGAGAAATTCTTCTGACAGTCCCAGATTCACTGGGAGGTTGCACAGTTTCCTCCCCAAGAGCTGACAGGCAGTTTTGGGGTGAGAACCCACGCTTCTGTGGCAAGGCAGCAAATGGGTAATTGGAGTTTTATACCATCCAACAACAGGTATTCACAAATTGATTGTTTTGCTTTTTGAGATGTGCAAGAAATAAAAATAAGAGTTAGGCCGGGGTTTTTTGTCTTGTCAGTAACACAAACTGCCCTTTTCCCTGGCTCTGTTTAATCCTTTCTAAATCTTATTTCTGAAAATTAAAATTATTTTTAATGCCACCTAAATCACTTAAAATTAATGCAGTACATAAAGGGAAATTTCACAAAGGAACCCTCATACCTAAAGAATCCTTTTCTTTCTCCACCAAGGAAGCCTCAATTAAATTAACTCCAATTGCAGTTCATCCAGCAGCCAGGAATTTGTGGATCTTCTGTTTCTAAAGAGACCCTTCAGGGACTTCAGTCCTGATTAAACTCTTTTGCCAAGGGCCTGCTTTATTCTCTTCCTCTTTTTTTAGGTTGGGGAAACACATTTAGAATCTTCGGAGAATGACGGAACAGTCAGACCTGAAGGGTGGCTCCGCTTCACTTTGGAGAGGAAATTTCTCTTCATTGTGATCTTCATTTTCCCAAATAAATGTGAAGATTGGACTTGCTTGGAGGTCTTTTCCAACCTTAATGATTCTGTGATATTCCAGTTTGAATAATTTTGATTGCTGCCTTATTTTATTCTTTTTTTATAACATCTCATCCTCATTCCATAGATTTTTTTTTCAGGATACTGTCATCCCATGGATTTTTTTTCCATCCATATACGTTTCATTCCATAGATTTTTTTTCAGAATACTTTCCCTATCCCAGAAAAAAAAAAAAACAAAACCCTAAGAAAAGACGCACCCAACTTTTGTTTCCCAAGGGGGAGGTGGAGCAGATTGCCATGATGAAGCCCAAGGGGCAAACGGAGCACGACGAGGGGATGCTGGAGTACCTGGAGGATCTGATCGGCTCGGCGCGCCTCAAGGAGCCCATCCACACCCTGTGCCGCCGGGTGGAGCTGCTCAACGAGCGCCGCGGGGAGAAGGTGAGGGAGGGGGCTGCCGGGGCTGCAGCAAGCCCGGGGGGCAAACACCGAGGGAGGCTCGGGGCTGCCGGGGCTGCAGCACACAGCCTGGGGGGCAAGCACCGAGGAGCCTGCGGGAAAGGAGGCTCAGGGGTGCCCTCGCTGCCGGGGCTGCAGCACACACCCGGGGGCAAGCACCGAGGGAGGCTGCAGGAGAGGAGGCTCAGGGCTGCCGGGGCTGCAGCACACAGCCTGGGGGCAAGCACCGAGGAGCCTGCCGGAAAGGAGGCTCAGGGGTGCCCTCACCACTCTGCACAGCTCCTGAAAGGTGCCTGTGCTCAGCTGGGGCTGGGCTCTTTCTCCAGGAACTGACACAACCAGAGCACACAGCCTGCAGCTGCACCAAGGGAAATACAGGTTGGATATCAGGACCAGTTTTTACAGAAAGAGTGATAAAGTTCTGGAATGGCTGCCCAGGGAGGGGGTGGAGTCACCATCCCTGGGTGTGTTTAACAAAGCCTGCATGTGGCACTGGTTTAGTTGAGGTGTTAGGGTGGGTTAGACTGATGATCTTGAAGGTTGCTTCCAACCCAGTGATTCTGGGAATTCTGTGAACTCCTGGGGCATCCCAAACAAATCCCAGCATTTCTACACACAGCCGTGTGGAGAGTTCAAAATACACAAAATTACTGCTGATGCCTCAGGTTTAGATTTTAGGTTTTTCAGATTCTGTGCTGCTTTAGTGTGCAGTTCTGAGCTTCACATCAGGGCATGGTGAGCTCTGTGCACAGCGCAGGGACACAAAACAATTCCTGCTCCAGCTGGGCACCAAGGACAAATGATCCCAATCTCAGCCCAGGAGCACAAAGCCCGTGGGCTGCAGAGAGAAAAACAAGCAGGGTGGGACTGCAGGGGCTGCAGTGGGATTGGACACTGCACTGCAATGTGCACATGGAGCAGAGCTGAGCCCAGGGAGAGACCCCGGCAGCGCTCGTGCATTTTGGGGCCATTTGGGTTCATCCTGGGTGCAGCCCTGGCTGGGCTCTGGTGCTGCCCAAGGTGGATCCATGGAGGAGATCCTTGAATCCATCCCTTCTTTATTCTGGAACTCTGGCCAGCCTCTGCTCTAGGGCAGCCTGCACAAGGCATCACTGCTGCCCCTAAAAGTCCTGCTTTTGTAGCATTTTATTGGTGTATTGAGTGCTAAAAGGACTAAGCTTAAATAAAATCAGTTTGTTTTCCTTGATGTATCTGTGATAAATCCCGAGGCAGACTTGTTTTAAAAATAAGCATCACCTGTAGTTGCAGGAATTAAATTGAAAATAGCCAGTCAGAAGGCTGAGGTAAAGCAAATCACCATAAAATTGCCTTGCAGAGGTAATTCCTGATACCATTTTTCCAGAGGATTCATGTCCTTCAAAGGGCTTGAAATTTTCTCCTCATGGTTTCCTCCTGTAGTGCTGGCCCTGCCTCAGCTCTGTCCCTCTGTTTTCTCCAGTTAAATCGAGTTAAACTGGTGGAAAAAGAAAAAGATGCCTTGGAAGAGGACAAGAATAAAGCCATTGAGTTCCTTTGCTTGGAAAATCAAATATTTAAGGAAAAGAATAAGATGTGTCAATATTACATGTAAGTAATTCTCAGGGTTTGGGTTGGCTTTAATGTGGTGGGGCTGCTGTTAAACTTTGTTCAGTATCTCTAGTTAGAAATATTTTCCATTTCTAACTCCGAATTATTGTTGTTTTTTGATATTTTACATAACTCTGTTTTTACACTGGGAATTGGAAAGAGAGTTTCATTGTGAAGATGGAGAAAAATGAGGATGTATTGTTTTATTTTCCTAGCCACGACCTAAAGAAACGTATAAATGACCTGGAAATGCAGAAGGAGAAAATTAATGAAGAAACTAAAGGTATTAATGAGAAAAGCAGTAAACTTGCAGAGGAAACAAAAACCAAGAATAAAACTTTGAAAGAACTTGAAAAGTGAGTACTTCAGGGATGTGTAGTACTGTGTTTTACATGTTTCCCACCAAGAAATTAAATTATCTGATGACCAGAGACACTTCTGGTACATCTAAATACACAAAGAAGCATTTAAATTAATGCATAAAATAAATTAAATGCACAGAAATAAAGCAAATTCACATAAGTTTGATTTGGTTCTGGGTAAGATTCAGAATTACAATAAGGAAATATCTGATCTTTTTAATAGATTTAAAGTATTTCTTTGTATTGACTGAACAAAAAAAGAATTAGTAAATGCTTTTTAGATTTACAACCTTAATGCTTAGGGACAGGGATTTAGGAAATTTTTCCTGATTTCTTCATGAGTCATTTATGCATAAATTGTGTTTCTTAAAATTGCTTTGGCTGGCTGCTGATCCCCCATCCAGCTGCAATATTGACCTGCTCATCCTCAGGGAGTACTGGGGAGAGATGGGAATTATTCATTCTGTCAAGAAAAAAGAGAAATTTTCTGAAAAGATGTTTAATATTGCTTGGGTAGTTGATCTTTATCTGATGGAACATCATTTTCCCTGGGAAAATACTGGGAATATAGTGGATATTGGATGTTGTTAATCACAAAACCTGGGAAATATTGGCTTAAATTCTCCATGTTTACTTATTAAAGCAGCCTTAATAAGCCTTAGTTTTATACTATATGAAATAATTTTTTTTTTTCCCTCCAGGAAATCCAATAAAATTACAAAGATAATAGAGGAAAATAAAGAAAAATTCAGTCAGTTGGATTTGCAGGATGTGAAAGTGAGGGAGAAACTCAAACATGCCAAGAGCAAGGCTAAAAAACTGGAGAAGCAGCTTCAAAAGGACAAGGAAAAGGTAGGGGCTTGGAGCAGCTGGATTGGCTTGGAAACGTGCAGTAAATTGTGGAGAAAATGGGAAGGGCACAAAGGTGGGAAATCAGCTTGGAATTGTTTCAATTAGATTTTGAAGGCATTAAATCAGCCCAAGGTTTTGTTTGCTAATCACTCACTGCAGTGATCACTCCATGAGTGGAGTTAATTCACGGAGCTGTGTCATCCACTTGGTCACTGGGAGCTCCTGGGCTGCCTTTGGGTGCAGGAGGGATTCAGGAATTCCTGAGGAGGCTCAAAGTCCTTCCCTGTGCAGGTGGAGGAGCTGAAGAACGTCCCCTCCACAAGCTCCAAGGCCATCGAGGACGCCACGGCCAAGAAGGAGCTGCTGGCAAAGGCCAAGGACAAGGAGGAGGCCAAGCTCAAGCAGGTCCTGGCCAGCCTGCAGGAGGAGACCAAGGGAATCCAGAAGGAAAAAGAGGTTTGGACAGGCAGGAATTACCCACCTGCTGTAATTTCCCTCTTCTGTAGGAATCCAGCACCAGACACTTGTAAAATGCCATTTATTGACAAATCCACTGCTCCTCGTGGTAGTTCAGAGGAGCCTCGGTGGGAAATTAATCTTAAATTAATAATCACAGCTAAACCCTTGGCTGCTTTTTGAGTGCTCAAACATCATCAAGTATCTCATTCATATATATAATATAAATAATACACTCTGATTTCCTGCCATCAAAACATTTAAGCCAGTGGTGTTGCTTAAATAAATAAAGATACTCTGGAATGATCTGTTCCCAGCCTTTCCCACACTGTCTGTGAATTAATGAACAACTACTTTAACATTTGGTTGTTGGTGGTGGTGTTCAGTACCTGGAGGCTGGAAATTTATCCTGTAAATTTACAGGGTTATTTTCTGTCCTTGAAAACATAGATTCTCCATGGATTTGAGCTGTAATTTAGCTCACTGTGTAGGGCTCCTCCCACCTTTGAGAAAACCATCAAAGCTTGTATGGAAATGCTCTGTGATAACTCCCTGGCATTCTCTGTAATTAGGAAAAGCCTGGTTACATTCCCAGCCGTTCATGTTGATTAATGAAGAAAGGCTGCTTCTCCCAGAGAGCAGAAGTGTTTCCTGCTGCCAGGGCTGGGAAAGCAGCTCCCATGTCCTGTTCCCTGTGCCCAGCTGAGTGTCCCTGGTGTTCCTGCAGGGCAAGGAGCAGGAGCTGATGGAGTTCAGCAAGGAGGTGACCGAGACGCGCTCCAACATGGAGATAGCGCAGTCAGAGCTGGAGCTCTACCTGAGCAAGTACAACTCTGCCCTGGCCCAGCTCAGCCAGGCCCAGGAGGCCCTGGGCAGCACCTCCAACACCCTGAAGGAGAGGAAGGCTGCCATCAAAGACATCGCTGGGAAACTACCCCAGGCTGAGCAGCAGCTCAGGGAGGTGAGACTTGGCTTCCCCATTTCATTTTGAGTCACACACAAACCAAAGACCCACTCTTGTCTTTGGCAATAATTGTGGTGACATAAACCATGACCCATCTCCTCTAAAACATCACTGAAAAGCTGTTTTCTAATACTTTGCTGATGGAGCAAATACTGGATTTCAGACTTACTCAGTTAAGCCAGTATTGACTTAAATCCTACATATCCCTGCAAGGGAACAGATTTGACACTGAGCTGTGGCTGCATTCCTGAGCCTTCTTCAGGGTGCTAAAGCCCTGGCACAGGTGCCCAGAGCAGCTGGGGCTGCCCCTGGATCCCTGGCAGTGCCCAAGGCCAGGCTGGACAGGGCTTGGAGCAGCCTGGGACAGTGGAAGGTGTCCCTGCCATGGCAGGGGTGGCACTGGGTGGGCTTTAATGTCCCTCCCAAACCATTCTTTGAATTTCATTTCCTGCTCCTCAATCATTCCCCAAAGAACAAAGGCATGCATTGAAGGCTCCATGAATCCAGTAGATTTTGGGAGGCTGAGCCAATGTCTTTGAACCCCCAGAAAGAGAATGCTCTGGAGAAGCTGGGAAGGGAAGAATCCGGGACCAAGGATCTCGTGCGAAACCTGCGCCGAAAAGTAGAGGAAGCCAAAAGTTCTTTAGCACAGAGTCGCAGCCGAGGAAAAGTGCTCGAGGCTCTGCTCCAGCAGAAGAGATGTGGGAATATTCCTGGCCTCTATGGAAGGCTGGTAAGTGTTAGAAGGCTGTTACAATTCTAGTGTTGAACTTCTGAGGAGATGAGTGGTGTTCCTGTGATGAAGTGTGGGATGCCTCACTTCCCTGGCATTAGGAGTTTGGAGAGGGATGCCTCACTTCCCTGGCATTAGGAGTTTGGAGAGGGATGCCTCACTTCCCTGGCATTAGGAGTTTGGAGAGGGATGCCTCACTTCCCTGGCATTAGGAATTTGGAGAGCAGAGCTGTAAATCCCGTGGACTTGCTGTAAAATCAAACATTTTTCAGTTCTTTCCAAGCAATGTTGGTTTAAAGTTCTGAAAATTAAAAGCTGAGTTTTTGATTCCTGTTGCATGTCAGTGTAATTGTAAAAGTGCTGGGTTTGTATTCTGCAGTTTTTTGTCCAAGGAGAATTATCTCTGCTTCAGAAAAATCAGTTTATTCAGATTTTGAGAATGGATTTACTGGGACACAACTGAAAGAGCAGCTCAGGTGCCAACTAATCAGTGTTTGTCCCTCATCAGGGAGACCTGGGGGCCATCGATGACAAGTACGACGTGGCCATTTCCTCCTCGTGTGGAGCCTTGGATCACATTGTTGTGGACACCATTGACACTGCCCAGGCCTGTGTGAACTTCCTGAAGGCTGGAGGGATTGGGGTTGCCACCTTCATAGCCCTGGACAAGGTGAGTCCCACCCTTGGGAAAACAAATCATTTTGCTGTTAATTGCAGTCTAATTACGTTTATTTTAAAGCCTTAACATCCCATAGAATAACAAGATGACCCAACATTTATCCCAAAGATTGATTCCTTGATTTCCTCTGTGGATGTAGATGGCTGTGTGGGAAAAGAAAATGCAGAAAATCCCAACTCCTGAGAACGTGCCGCGGCTCTTTGACCTGGTGAAGGTGGAGGACCCAAAGGTTCGCCTGGCCTTCTACTTCGCTCTCAAGGACACTCTGGTGGCCAAAAACCTGGAAGAAGCCACCAGAATAGCATTCCAAAAGCAGAAAAGGTGGAGGGTGGTAACCCTGCAAGGAGAAATCATCGAGGTGTCAGGTACTGCAGGCCCAGCTGGAGCTCCACTGGAAGCACTTCGGGGGTGGTATCGCAGCCCAAGGAGTTCTCTGAGCTCTTTTCATCCCTTTTTCTGTAGGAACCATGACTGGTGGGGGAGGAAAAGTCATGAAGGGCAGAATGGGCTCCTCAGTCGTGATGGATATCTCAGAAGAAGAGGTGAGTACATCATGGAAATGCAATTCCAGCAGAATTCCTTTGTTTGGGCAGTTCTGACACACATGTGCCTTTCAAAGCACCATGAGCAGGAGCAGTCTGGGATGGAGGATAATTAGAAAGGGTTACAAAGCCAAAACTCCCAATGTTTGCAGAGTTTAGAATACTTTGAAGTGCATCAGGGATAAAAGGGTTGTAACTGGCAGGGGCTGCCCAGGGAGGTTTGGAGTCCCCATCCCTGGAGGTGGCACTCAGTGCTCTGGGCTGGGGACAAGGTGGTGACCAGGCACAGGCTGGACTCAGTGGTCCTGGAGGGCTTTTCCAGCCTCAGGGATTCTGTGTTTATTCACAGCCCAGCCCATTATTGAATTCAGTCTCCCAGTGCTTCCTTTGACTGCTTGAACACCATTTGGGCAGAGCAGGATACAGTTTGCTTTTCCTTCTGAACTCCATTTAGGTTTTAATCTGGAGCTGCTCCTCTTGTTTCTCACTGGCACAGCTGGTGTTCCCAGCACTCAGACTCCCCAAGCTGAAGTTTTTACTCCACTTTCTCCTGTGTTTTAAGAGCACAGGGATGAGCCCTGGCTTGGTTTTGTCATGGTGACATCAGTAAATAATCCTCTCATTCTGTGTAGATCAGCAAAATGGAATCCCAGCTGCACAGGGATTCCAAAAGAGCTGTGCAGTGTGAGGAGGAGAAATCCCAGCTTGAGGAAGCCATAAAGAAACTGCAGCAGGAGATCCAGGAGATGAGGAACACCTCGCAGAAATACACAGCCAGTATCCAGGTGAGAACCCCTGAGCACTTCCCAGCCCCACACAGGCCTGGCTGCTCTCAAGGAGTTTTCAAGGACAAGATTCCAGCCCAGTTTTGTGTTCTTTGCAGGGATTTTCTGAGCAAGAAATTGCTCTCAAAAATCAAATCAAGGAACTCGAAGCCAACGTCGCTGCTGCTGCTCCAGACAAAACCAAACAGAAGGAGCTGGAAAAAGTCCTTGATGGTTATAAAAAAGGTACATTTTTTGGAGAGGGGATCTGAGATAAAAGTTGTAGTAATCTCTTTTAGCAATAGAGGAAGGAGTGGGTTTGGGTTTGTGCTTCAGTTCCCTGTCTTGGTTTGGGACCTCGTTTTTCTAAGGTATTTCTAGAGATCAGAAAGTAAAACCCCTTTTCTTTGTAATTGCTCAAGTTCATGTTTTAGTCAAGCTAAAGTAAACACAGATTTCACTATTTTGTTTCTTTGCTTAGATTTTTGTGGCTATATCACACATTCATAGGGAAACTTAGTTTGATTAGGGCTAAGAATTATTAATGAGAGGTAATGATATAAAAGTCAAGTGAAGGTTTTTTCCAGGCTCTAACCAGGGTTACAAATGAGTCTATAAAATAAATCCCTGTATTGTTTGTGGGAACACATCCCTTTTGTGCTGTGATGCTGTCCAGCAGGGGCAGGAACTACACATTGACACCAGCTCCTGGGAAATGCTGGTGGCCAGTTCTTAAAAATTTACCTTTTGAGCATCTTCCCATTAATTAAATGCAAAGAATGAGTTTGGAGTAAGTTCTAATGCAGCACCTCCTGTATTTCAGTACTCTGTGTACATAAGTAATCCATGCTGAGTGGGTTTTGTGGCAGGAGAGCTTTGCTAGAGCAGTGGCAGAAAGAAGTGAGTGGGTTTTGAAGTTTGTAAAAGTGCTCATTTATCACAGCATAGAGAATATGTGCACTTCTCAGTCGAGGAGCAGAGCAGAGCTCCCATGGGATCCCTTCCATGCCTTTACCCCGTGAGTGTGGGCAGGAGCAGGGCCAGGCTGCACAGGGCCCTGAGCCTCCTTTGCACACACAGAGTACGAGCGCGTGGCTGAGCGGGCCGGCAGGATGGAGCAGGAGGTGAAACGGCTGCACCAGCTCATCATGGACACCAACAACCAGAAACTGAGGGCTCAGCAGGACAAGATTGATAAGATTGACAAGGAGATGGATGAATGTTCCTCTGCCATCACCAAGGCCCAGGTGGCAGCCAAGACTGCAGACAGGTACAGCACGGGGAGCCTCGGGCTGGAGCTGCACTCACTCAGTGTCTGTGCACATGGGGCTCAGCGAGGGAGAGGGAAGTCAAATCTTGCAGTTTCTAATAGTTTAAAAGTCACATTTAATCAGCATTTCTCTAATTTGCCTGGATTATTTCTTTAATATTGCCTACACTGCAATATTCAGGAGAAAGTCCAAAATAGCACTAGATTGGATGTGCTGGAGCAGTTCAAATCTGAAGGGGCTGATTTTATTAGGAGCTCTGTCAGGAAATAAAATGGGATCTATTTTTTATGGGAGCTTACCACTCCATAGAGATTCCAAACTCTGAAAGAAGAAATAAAGTCATTTAGTGAGGTCTGGCTGCTGAGGAAGACAACTTTATTTTCCTTGGATCCCTTGGAGTGTGGGAGTTGGTGCCTAAACCAGCACTTCCTCCTTGTTGCCAGTGAGATTGTGCTCCTGGATTATTTCTGTGAGGTGCACAAAGCTCCCTGTCCCTGGGCAGGAACCTGAAGAAATCCGAGGAGGCTCTGCAGCGCACGGAGAAGGAGATGGAAGAGAACGAGAAGGAAATGAAGAAACTGACAGAAGAGCTGACAACGCTGGAGGAGAAAGCCACCGAGGTGATGAACGAGTGCAGGCAGGCTGAGGTGAGTCCTGGGACCACGCTGGGCTCCAGGGAAATCAAGGAGAGGAGTTAGACCCTCCCTGTGTCCCACTGATTTCCCATTCTCTCTGCAGAGCAGCCAGGCCGTGGCAGTGGTGTATCTTCATTTTTTATACTCATCTGGAAATTTATCCTGACTCAGTTAAGGAAAAAAACTTATACCAGGTCTGCCCAAACAAATTGCTGCGTTTCTTAAGCATAAAAGTTTTATTACACATAAAAGCTTTCTTAAACATAAAATTTTTCCAGTTATGTGGGATTTTGGTTTCTCATCTAGATTTCTTTGAGAGAGGGAAAACCAGGATGGCTGAAATGCTTTCAAGTATAAGATTTGATGTCTTTCTCTAATTAGCTAAAAATTAGTGTAGGACCTGTTTGATGCAGATCTGGAATGAAAATACAAACTGCAGCATTTTCTCAGTCATTCCAGAATTCAAGGATCAGTTATAAACCTAAGAATATTTATTTGTTTCCATCCATAGCTGTGAGTGAATTAAGTGAAAACAGACTTTTCACCCAAAAAAGGGGTGGCATTTTTGTAGGTGATTGATCAATGATCTTTTTGGGGGCATTTGCCATTTTTCTACTCAGGAAGCTTTGCCAGCAGTGCAGGAGGAGCAGAAGAATTTACTCGAGGAGATGAAAACTATTCGAGATGCTGAACATGCCCTTCAAAATGAAGCTCTGAGCATCAAGCTGAAAATTGAACAAATTGACAACCACATTTCCACCCACCAGGGGAAGGTTAAATACTGGCAGAAAGAGGTAGGAAATGGTTTAGCTCCTAAAACTTAAATCAGGGAATTGTGGAATGGTTTGGGTTGGGAGGGACCTTAAAGCTCATGCAGATCCACCCTCAGGGACACCTTCCACCATCCCAGGTTGCTCCAAGCCCTGGCCCTGGGCACTGCCAGGGATCCTGGGGCAGCCACAGCTGCTCTGTGGATCTCACAGGATGAACCATCAACATCCCCTCAGGAAACAGAGGACTTGGGAGAAAATTCCTCTTCAGATCCCATCTTATTGCTGTATATGCAGGAGCAGGATAATAGGACAAAGGGAATTTATTCTCTTTTTCACTTGCTATTTTAAAGACCTGTGGGAAGGATCTTGGAGATTAGAAACTTCCCAGAAAAAAACTCCTTTTAGAAGCAGCAGCAGGTGTGTGTTGACCTCCCCACGCCACGTTTGCACTGCAGATCTCCAAGCTGTCCCTGCACGCCATCGAGGGCGAGGCCCCCGAGGAGCTGCGGCTGCTGAGCCACGAGGAGCTGGAGGCGCTGCAGGAGCCCGACGCGCTCAGCAAGAAAATCGCGCTGCTGGAGGCACAGCGCCACCAGCTCCGCCCCAACCTGGGCGCCATCGCCGAGTACAGGAGCAAGGTACAGCCCCGGGCAGCCCTCCGGGCCTGACCCCCCTCCTTTCCTGCCTTTTGGAATTTGCCTCTTCCTCTTGTTAGCAGGTCCTTAGCCAAGGTGAAAGTTGTTTCTAGGAGCTTTGTCTGCCTTTTGTTTTCCACACCGTCAGTGTCAGGTGACAACTTTCTGGGTGATCTCGAAGTCTTTTCCAACCTAAATAATTCTGTGATTCTCCTGGGAATGTTTATTTAACTGAGTCAAGTCTTCACAGCCAAGACAGGCACACAATACCCAGATTTTCCCCTCCTCACATCAGTAACAGTGAACCGTTTAACAGATGAAGTATTTTTTATTTTGACTCAGGTTTGGTTTTTTGTTGTCCCTCAGCAGCAGAGATGGGAAAAGAGAGACATTTTGGGGGTTTTGTTTCAGGGCTGTTAGCCAGGCTGGGGAAAAGGAATGTTCACATGGTAGGAAAAGTGATTTAAACACTAAGCTGAGGAGGCAGCTGCTCCAAGTGCCCTTGGGTTTGGTTGTTTTGCCCTGCAGGAGGAGCTGTACCTGAAGCACGTGGAAGAACTGGACAACATCACCAGCGAGAGGGACAAATTCAGAGAGGCCTTTGAGGAGCTGAGGAAACAGAGGCTGAATGAATTCATGGCAGGATTTAATGTCATCACCAACAAGCTGAAGGAGAACTACCAGATGCTCACGCTGGGAGGGGATGCTGAGCTGGAGCTTGTGGACAGTCTGGATCCCTTCTCAGAGGGAATCATGTTCAGGTTTTCAAAATACTTTATATTCTATTAATTTTTAATCATTATAGTCCTTTTTTCAGCCTGTTTTTAAAGTAAATACTCATTGATCTTCAGTGAACCAAGACAGGCTCAATGTGGGCAAATAGTGGCAGAAACCACAAGTGTTTAGCTCTCGGATTCATTTCTGTCTCCTGGAGAAATCAGGCACTAAAAGCAGTTGGAAAGCTTTGAACTCATTTCAGTGCCCAGGTCACTTCATTCTGCCTAGGGAATGATGGCAGGAATTCTCCCAGGGTAAATCCATGAGCTGGGAGTTCAGCTGGGAAAGGCAGCGAGGCACAGCCCCGTGTTACCCAGGCAGAGATCAGAATTCCTGACAGCCCCAACTCTTGCTCTGTTCCAGTGTCCGGCCTCCCAAGAAAAGCTGGAAGAAAATCTTCAACCTGTCAGGAGGAGAGAAGACCCTGAGCTCCCTGGCACTGGTGTTTGCCCTGCACCACTACAAACCCACCCCTCTGTACTTCATGGACGAGATCGACGCCGCCCTCGACTTCAAGAACGTCTCCATCGTGGCGTTTTACATCTATGTGAGTTCCTGTGCCTCAGCTCCTCAGGGCTGCCCTTCTCCTCCAGAAGGGACAAAGTGGCCCCACAGCTGCAGGCAGGTTTAAGGTCGGGGCTGCTGCAGTTTCACTGCTCCCTCTGAACACACAGACTCCCCCAAAAGCATCAGCTACTGGCAGAATACACAACTTTAGCTGTCACTGATGTCTCCGTGGATCCAAGCTCGTGATTTCCCAAGGTTCCTTGGATTTACACTTCCATGTCATCCCCATCAGTGTCTTTGATCTATATCTTAATTAGCAGTAATTAATTTTTTCATGCCTTTAAAACTTCTGTCCTCAGCATACTTAATCAGAACAAACCCCTTACATGGCTCCACTTAATTAAACATTGAGTATTCAGAGTTATTATTAACTGACAAAGATTAGGGGCAGCTACTTCAGATTAGGAAAGCACTTGGAAGTTCCCTGACCAGCTGCAGTTTGGAACTTGGCTTTGTGTGCCACACCAGGACTGGGGGGCTTTGGGGATGCTAGGCACTAACAGAAATCCCTTCTGTTTCAGGAACAAACCAAAAACGCCCAGTTCATCATCATCAGCCTGAGGAACAACATGTTTGAGATTGCAGAGAGATTAATCGGGATTTATAAAACCCAGAACACCACCAAAAGTGTGGCCACCAGCCCCAAAATCCTGTCTGTGAAAGGACTGGAGGAACTTGGCCTCCCTGCCTGCGGTGTATCCCAGAGTTAGGGAAGAAGCAACTCCCAGCCCCATGGCTGCTGTTTATTTTTATCTGATCTCATTTTGTATCATAGACTTTGTTTGGTTTTGTAAATTCTAAATAAATGTCGTAAAAATTTGATCTTGTTAATATTAACCCAGCATTGATAAATTTTTGAATGTCATGTAAAAATTGAGGAAAGGGAGATATAAATTGATGAAAAGAGAGACTGCATCAGGTTGGGCAGGGGCAGCACCAGAGACAGCAATTTAAGGAATCAATGTAATTTACTATGATGCAAAACTGCCAGGAGTTAGGGGAGAAGCTCAGCAATGCACCTGATCTTTGATCTTTGGCAGAGAATTCCAGCAGGGGAAGCTCAGCAGTGCCCCTGATCTTTGGCAGAGAATTCCAGGAGGATGTTAAGGACCAAATCCCACAGTTGTGGATGAAGGCAAAGCTCACCTCTTCACCTGAAGTGGATCAGGACTTCAGCTCAGAGGAAATCCATGCAATACAGAAAAGGAATGATACAGAAACAGAACAAGTGTAGAGCTTTAACAATCCAGCTTTTAAGTAGGAATTAAAAATAATGCTGGATTGCTGCACGAGGTTTTCAATCTAATGGAAGCAGTCAGGAAGGATTCTCCTGCACAGCTCTGCACTCTGGCCTGCAGGTAGGTGCAGGAATCCTGATAAATCCACAGCAGGAATTCCCAGAGGCATGCCAGAGCTGGGATGGTGCCAGATGAGATTTTGGGCCATCAGGAAGCAGCAGAGAGCCTGTGGTTCGGTAAGAGCAGCCCAGAGTGCAGATGCTGCTGCTTGCCTTCCAGAGCATTGGCTTTTGTGAGCCAGGTGTCACTTTGGGGTGTGGATCTCGTGCTCCTGCCCGCTTTCAGTTGCAGACCACGTGTCCTGCAGCACCTTCTCCATCCCAGGATGGATCTCCCCAGGTTCAGGCTCTGGGAGCTGCCTCAGTTTGAGGGTGTGGAGCCACAGCAGCAGCTTGTTCATCTCCAGGACTCCTCCTGAGGAGCCAAGAGCAGCTCCTTCAGCTCACTCTTCTACCTCCAGTTTTTCCACCTCCTCCATGAGGGGATGGCATTTCTCCAAGATGCGGCTGTCAAATTCATCCAGTGCACTCAGCAGAGCTTTTTTATGCTCCGAGGTATCACCAAGTTCGTTAAAATACTGCAGCACAGCTTCCCTGCCAGAGCCTCTCGGAGCACGAGATCACCTTGGAGCGGGACGGATCCGTCAGCTGCTCCAGGAGCTGCCCTGGAGCCTCCCTGAGAACACCTTGGAGCAGGACGGATCCATCAGCTGCTCCAGGAGCTGCCCCGGAGCCTCCCTGAGAACACCTTGAAGCAGGACGGATCCATCAGCTGCTCCAGGAGCTGCCCTGGAGCCTCCCTGAGAACACCTTGGAGCAGGACGAATCCGTCAGCTGCTCCAGGAGCTGCCCTGAGCCTCCCTGAGAACACCTTGGAGCAGGACGGATCCATCAGCTGCTCCAGAGCCTCCCTGGCTTTGCCGTGGGTGCTCTGGGGGTGGCAGTGGGTGGTGGTGGGTGGGCACCGTGCCCGCAGTGCCTGCCCAGGCTGAGGCACCGTGCTGCAGGCAGCGAGTGCCCAGCGCCTGCTGGGGCTGTGCCCTGCACGTCCAGCCCCAGCCCCAGCCTGCTGCAGGCAGCGAGTGCCCAGCGCCTGCTGGGGCTGTGCCCTGCACATCCAGCCCCAGCTCCAGCCCGCTCCTCCTGCTGGCACCACGGGTGTTGGATTTTATCAGTGTTACTGATGGGACTGCCTTGCTCTGTCTGGCCTCGGCTGCTGCCCAAACAGCGGCACCTGAGGAGGTTCCTCCCCAGAGACGCTGTTCAGTACCTGAGGTCACAGCTGGGCATGCCCCGAGCTCCAGAGCTTGTGGCTGGAGCTTGCTGCTGAGGGGGGCACTCCTCAGGCCTCCCTGAGCTGGAGGAACCTTTGAGGCGAGGTGAAGAAAGGAGCAGGTCCTGATGGAGTTTTTAATCCAGATTTTTTATTCTGGGCAGCATGGCCTCTGAATCCTGCAACAGCTCCAACAGAACACCGACCCTGTGGTCTGCTTGCCCTTTTACGTGGGGAGAGAACCCAGGGAGCACCAACCAGGCGTGAGGGGAGGGGGTCTCAGGTGAGAGGGACACCTGGGTGTGGGGGGAGAGCATCCTTTGAACCTGCCAATCCCTCGATGCTCCTCTTGGAATTTCTGGGTCGATGGACAGTGCCCAGCAGGGGTCAAGGGTGGGGAAAGGAGAGGTGGTGATTGACACCCACCTGAGGGACCGGGGAAACTGAGGCACACCATGACAACACACCACAACAATGGGCACAAAACACACAGAGCAGAGGGGACTGAGCTCTGCTCGCAGCCTCTGCAGCGACCCCAGCAGCAGAATTCCCTGCCTCGGCACCTGGGGGGAAATCAGTGGAACTCAGCAAATCCCAGGCTGCAGCCAGAGCATTCACCCAACCCTATCCATCCCATCCATGGCCAACCCTTAAAAAACCAGGAAAAGCAGCAATCTGCCACTAGATACTGGTTACAGTGGGAAACAGTAGCAGTGTGGTAAAAGCCAGAACTAGAATTTCTAAATAACCTCAGAGCTATGGAAATTTCCTCCCACCAGGAGTAACATTTTCAATGTGAACAGAAACATAGAATTTTTTCTCTCCATTCATTTAAAGGGTTACTTCTGTAACACAAAATAGTCATAAGTGCATTAAACAGTCACAATGGAAAGCTCCCTCAAGGCTCTGGCACAGAAAGTCCAACTCAGCCCTCACAGGCAACACCACATCAGGAATTACTCCTGGTTACTCTAAGCACCAAACTGGAAAATCAACTTTTACCTTCCACTCTCTGCAAGGTTGCTTTGTTCTATTTCCCAGCTGACTGAAATCACACTGCAAAGTCACAAGTAACAGAAACACTAAAGTCTGTTTTCATAATAAATCATAATCCTGGTTTTCCTTCTGCTAAAAATGGAGAAATTGGTACCAAATTTCCTCCTCTTTGTGCCACACTTTCCTTCCTTACCCCTCATCAGTTCCAGTCAGCTCTGCGGACTTTGCTACAATGCAGAAATTAATTGTCAGAGCATTTAGGATCAAAGATTCAGGGTCTGAGCTGATCTGCAGACAAGGACCTGGGCTCAGGCTGAGCTGAACAGCCAGACCCCATTCCTGGGAGTTCAGTCAGCCCTGAGCTCAGCAGCCTCTGCTGCTGGCACAGAAATAAGCCTGGCTTACCTCACTGGCTTAGCCAGGCTGGGCTTGGTCAGCGAGGGCAGCCCGGGCTGCTGACTCAGCCCTGGGCTGAAACTGAGGTGAAATGAGGCCAAAGGATCAACTGTGATGCTTTATTTATGGCAGCAGGAGCTCCAGCTTTGAAGGAGAGGAAAAAAGAGAGGAAAAGCTCAGGATCAGCACCCAGGGCTCCCACACTGGTACAGGAGGGAAATTTCCTTCCTGAAGAACACAAATCCAACTTACCTGAGCTGTGGAAAGGGTGAGAGAAAACAAATCTGCCTGCCAAGGAGTTTGCTAGCAGAACAGCAAAGGAAAACCTTTCCAAGATGTCTCTTGGCTGTGTCAGGAATGTCCTCAGGGCTGCAGGAGGAATGTCCCCCAGCGCAGGAGCTGCCCTGCCCAGGGTTCATAAGCCAGCCCGGGGAGACGACCCTCCCATTCCCTCCCCAGAACACTCCTGTGCCCCAGGCAGCTCCAGCCCGAAGTTGGGCAGGAGTCAGCAGCGGGAGCAGCAGCTGTGGCTCAGCCCTGCTCCAGGGGCTCTTTATTTGTTATTCCTTCGTGCCCAAACAACATCTGGAATGCTCAGGTGTCTGTGGGCCCCCAGTGTTGTCTTACTTTGCTCCAGATAAAGTAAAAGGTGGAAATCCTGAAATTCAGTTTCATCCAACACTGGCAGCAGCACGGAGGAAATGTTCATTTACTGATTGATTTCCACCTGCAGGCTGGATTGAACAGGTTGGAAACAGACTGGGAACACAACGGAAAGGACAGAGGAGACACCACAGAGTTCAGCAGAGAACAAAAGAGTTTTCCAGGGGAAAAAAAAAGCAGCAGGAAGCTGGGAAATGCTGGCTTTACCTGCCACAGCTGTGCAGATAAAGCATACGTGGCTGTGGAATACAGCAGCCATCAGTGTGTAGGCAGGTAAATAACTGCTTTACAGCACAATCCCACCCCGTTCTACTGTGAGGGATCTAAAAGGTGAATTTGGCACTGGGAAAGGGCTGTGCCAGCCCATTCCAAGGGCAAAGCCCCCTAGGAAGGAGAGCTGCCAGGCTCCTGCTGCTCCCATCAGCACAGGAAACATCTGCTCTCCTGCAGGACTGTGACACCGAGCTCAAACCAAGGCACAGCCAGGGCCGTTCTCTGCTCTTTAACCAGAAAGAATTCAGTGCCAGCCTTGGCTTGTAAGAAATCCACAGCAATTTGCACTCAACCTTCACACTCTGCTTCCATCCAGAGATGTTTCAGTACAGGTATCACTTCAATCAAGACGTTTACAACAGGAACCTGTGCTGGGAGTTTTTACACCAAACTTCAAGTCAGCAGCGAGGAGTTTGAATCCTTGTGGGTCACACTCTGCTTCCATCCAGAGATGTTTCAGTACAGGTATCACTTCAATCAAGACGTTTATAACAGGAACCTGTGCTGGGAATTTTAAGACCAAACTTCAAGACAGCAGTAGAAGCCAAGGCCAGGAGTTTGGATCCTTGTGGGTTCCTTCCAACACCCTCAGGGTATTTCATGATTCTATATTCCCCTCTATCATTCGATTCCCCTGCCAAGACTGACTCCCCATCCCCGTAACTCTGCCAGGGCTTCTGCCCACGAGCAGTTACCTGTCCTTTACTGCACAGCCCGGGCAGCGCCGCGACAGCGCGGAGCGCACCTCGGCCTGTGCCGGCGGCTCCGGACACGGGATCGTGGGGCCGTCCCTGCACGAGGGCTGGGAAAGGGCTGGGAAAGGCTCCACACCTGAGACCTGCGGGTCACAGCGACAGCAACGAGCTGGAACGCGAGAAAAGCGGCGCCGACCCCCGCGCTGCCCCTCAGGCTGCGGGGACCCTCAGCACCCGCCTGGGCCCTCCCGGGGAGCTCCGCTCTGCGATGGAGCCGCTCCGGGCTCCTCTGCTCGGCGATGGAGCCAATCCAGGGAGCTCCGCTGAGTGATGGAGCCGCCCCGGGCTCCTCTTGGGGAGCTCCGCTTCGCGATGGAGCCGCTCCGAGCTCCGCTGCTCGGCGACGGAGCCGCTCCCGCGGAGCTCCGCCGGGCCATGGAGCCGCTCGCGCGGAGCTCCGCCGGGCCATGGAGCTGCTCTCTCCGCCCCGCTCGGTAACGGCCGCAGCCCTCGAACGGCAATGGCGGAGCGGGGGCGGAGCGGGCGGAGCTGAGGGAGGGAAGGGAGGGAGAGCAGCGACGGAACCGAGGGAAGGCAGGGAGGGAGGGCAGGGCCGGGCCGGGCCCTCGGGTCCCTCCCTCGGCCGCAGGCCGCGCTTTGTGGCGCTGCGATGGCGGAGCGCACCGGGAACGGCCGCGGTGCCAGCGGCGGGAATCGCTGCGGGCTCGGGGGATGGGACACGGAGGGGATCCCGATCCGGGCACGGGGACACGGAGGGGATGGGAGAGCAGAACCGATCCCGGTCCGGGCTCAGGGGGACACGGAGGGGATGGGAGAGCAGAACCGATCCCGATCCGGACACGGAGGGGATGGGAGAGCAGACCCGATCCCGATCCGGGCACGGGCACACGGAGCGGGAGCCGCGCGTTCATCCCGCTCTGCCCCAACCTCATCCCGCCCCACAACCCGCGGAAAAATTCACCCCGAAGGTGGAAAACGGGACGCACGGAGCTTGTGGCAGCTGCTGAGCACGGAAATTGAAATGATTTCGTCCTTCCTTTGAAGCCTTGGCTGCCCAAGCCAGCCCAGAGGTTTTGAGGTCGTGCCAGGACAGGGGCAGGGCTGGGTGGGATTTTGGGAAGGAATTCCGCCCAGGGAGGGTGGGCAGGCCCAGAGAAACACCCAGTGAAGGCTTTCCTTATATTCTGCATTATTCTCCATTAATTTACAGTTCACTGAAGTTACTCTCAGCTGTTACAAAGTGCATTTGAAAGAGAAATTAATCTCATTTAATGCTGTGATGTAAATAATAATGCACATCATTCCAAACTTACCTAAACGTGTCTTAAAGCTACTGTGCAGAGAATATTTTACAAATATCAGAGAAACAGCAAGAATTAAATTTCAAACCCTCAAGCTCTAATCACAAATTACCCAACACATCAGGAAACCTTAAAGGGAAAACTACAGGAACAGGAAATAAGGGAGCTTTTGACAATAATTCACAATACTGAGAGTAAGAACATCTGGTGGTTTTCATCTATTTGATGTACTTAAATTCAGAATTCACTAAGAAGCAGCATTTCAAGTGCAAACTGCCACTCCAGGAATTAAATCAGTGATTAAACCCATGGTCTGCACTGCTGATAGGAAATCTGACCCTCACCTGCCTTTCCATCAAATTACAAAACTCCTGGCACACATTTACCAACAGCTGGCATTTAAAGTTTCCCAAAACTGGTCCTTTTCTAGTAAGAGCAGCTTTTAGTGCTTTATAGAAATTTAAAATTCAAAGTATTGACATTTTAATCACAACTTAAGAAAAGTCTTGCTCAGCTTTGGGGCACACCAGACCAGCAGGGTAAATGCAGGATTTATAATGGATCCACTGGCAAAAATGGAATTATTTGCTGGAAATGAAGCTGCCAGCACTTTCTGTGGATAATGCAGCAACATGAATTCCCCAAGGATTTCTGTGCCCTGTGTTTCACTGGAGCAGTAGCTACAACTTACCCCAGCGAGTTTGTAAACTTGACACGTTTGCAGCTACTAAGTTTCCTCTGCCAATATTTGATCCAGATGCAGAATTCCTCTAATTGCTTCCAGCCTCAGGAGCTGCTCTCCTGCCAGGCTCTGGTGACACGCAGAGCTGAGGAAACATTTATAGTTAAAAGTGGCAAAAAGTCTGACTTTTAATCTGCAGCCATCCCAAAGTTATGGAGTGACTCTGCCAGGGATTCATTTGCATCAAAATCCTTTTAATTTGTTCATTCTCTGTGCAGAAATGAGGATTTTGACCAGCCTGTCCCAAAGCAGAAATTCACAACTTACAGGGCAGGAAGATGGGATGAGCTCTGTCCAGGGAAAGCTGAAAAGAACCAGGGATAATTCCACTTCCAGCAGAGAAAGGATCAACTCCTCTAAGAAACCCCTTTCCTCCCAGCTTATTCTTCTTCCCAGATCCTAAAATTCCAGAGCAGCTAATTGATTTTTTTTTCCCCATTAAAATAAAAATTCCCACCCGGCACAGCTGATTTGTGGATTCATTTTTGTGCTTTTAATATTGTAAATATTTTTCTATTTGCTATCCTAAAATCAGATTAAAAGGCAATTTTCTACTTCAAAATATAGGATAATTTAAAATACATATAACATATAAATATAGATACAACACCCAAACTCATTGATCAGTATTCCCAGAGGCAATTCCCAAATTATTTCTTGTTTGTAGCCCGAGATTCCCCAACAAATCCCCCTTTTCCCCCACAATGCAATCAACGGCACCACCTCAAAATGCAAATTTTGGGAGAAAAGTCATGGCACAAAGCGGCTCCAGGTTCGGCGGGTGCCACCCTGTGGAGATCCTGGAATATTTCACATTCCCGGATTTTGGGGAAATACTGACAGGATCTGCTGTGGAACAGGGGAAGAGAATTTCCCTGGTAAAAACTCACCCCAAATCCACCAAAAAAGGGAAAAAGCTGGAACAGCAGCAGCTCGAGGGAATTTTCTGCAGTTGTGTTACACCCAGGAAGGGCCCCCAAAAAAGCATTTTTTGGCATTAAATAGAGAGGTTTTGGGATATTTTGTTTTTAGGAAAACAGAAGTTGTCACAAATACCTGTTCTCCTCTTACCCAACAAGAAAGGTTTGTAAAACAGCAATTTTCCACGGAACATCCCCCACAAAGGTGTCTGAGGGTGAAAATTATCATTTACAGGTTAGAATTTTCCTCAGAACATTGCAATGTCCATAACAAGGATTTCATTTCCCTCCTCCATGGATTCCCTACATTTCCCATGAAAACAGCCCTGATTCATTTAGTGAATACACAGAGGTAATTCAGTAAAACTGAAATAAAATTGTTATTTTTTAACATTTACAGCAAAATAACTCCACGCTTCCAGCCTGCAACACACATTTAACAAGTAAAAACCTCAGCCCAGAGCCTTTAAAAGTCACTTTCTTCAAATAATCTTTGTTTCACACTGGAAAATAAAAGTGAGTATTCCATAAAGAAACAGGCAGAGCAGCAGAGTTGCAAGTTTTAATGTTTATTTCCCCAAGACAGCCTAGCCTGCACTCTACTTGGATAAATTCACAAGCTAGTTTTCCGCTGCTTCTAGTTTTAAACTTTTAACCATGTTTCTGATGACAAGGAATGCTGCAAAAATACTCTAGTCCAACAAAGAGTTATGATCACAAAATAATCTTTATCCATTCTACAGTGTTTCAGAATTACCAGCTGATTTGAAAACACAAGGTAGATATAGATGCTAATGGTGGCTAACCTGGGATGTTTTATTATAGCAAACTGTTGTTCATGCAACACTTGTGCTCAAAGGGGAAGGCACAGCATTTCCTACAATGAGCCACCTTATCAAGAGTTCAGTTTGTACAAATTTGTAACATCACCTTGAATTTAGTGTGCACGACCTCAAAACTGAGGCACTCCTCCAATTATAAAAACACTTGCATCCTTTTTGTGCAAGTTTTAAAAATACAAAGTTTTTTATTTTTTTTTCTCTCTAAAGTGGCTCAAAATAGATTGTTCATGGCTGCCTACATCTAAGATAAAAAGAGTCTAAAACAATTGGATTAGGCATATTAAAGGTGTTCAAACCATGACTTGATTTGTACATCTATTCACACCTCTTTTTTTCGCTCTTTATTCAGCAGTACATATGCACCAAATTTCATTTTTAGACGTTTCCATATCATTTTCATAGAAAACAAAGTTTGAAAACAAGTAACATTGAAACACAGCACGGTATCCTACCACAACAGAAACATTTTGGTTACAGGACTCAACGAAATCTAAAAATGAACTATGCTGGAGATTACCACATGCAAAGGTCTTCATGTTATCTTTGAAAATGAAAAGGATGAGATTTTATTACCACATTTTTACTGCTTTCTACTATTATGGCAACTTGTGTACTGCAACACAGCCTAGTTTGAAGGGAAATGGATGATTTTTTTTTCTTGTTTGTTTGTTTTTCCATGCAAAAATCTACAAATTAGTTTTGATGATATGGAAAAGCTTTTCATAACATCAAACATTCATCTGGTGCAAATGCACAGGGAAGCCTTCCTGAAATTCTGACTTTACAAACAACTAAGAAGCCGTAACAGGAAAAAAGAAATGAAAAAGAACTGAAAGAAAAAAGAAGAGGGGAAAAAAAAATAAAATAAAAAGAAAAGGAGAAAAACACAGGCTGCAGGAGTAA